CACATTTGTACACTTCCACACTATCAAGGTGTAGTCTCCAGAGTAGTTTGTACTTGTTGAATTCAGTGCCAGAGCCAGAAAATCTAACCAACAATGGAGAAATTAGTTGGACAGAGCTCAAATAACATCAACCAAAAATTCCACTGGCACACTTCCTACATGGACATATTTTTGTATTCTCTAGTTACAATCTCGTGCTGTTTGTTTCTGATGCTTATATTCCACCATCAAATTTTGCCTTGATTCATTTGCTACATAGCATGACCTTTAATCAACATAAAATCTATATACTGTATCAACTTACATGCTTAGTGAACCTCGTCTGAGAGCATTAGCCTTTCGCTTGACAGTTGCACAAACCAGCATATCATTAAACAAGAATAGGCATCGGTCCTTCTTGGTTATTGTTCCTTTCTGTTAGAATAAACATCCATGAGATACATGAAGGCAACATTTCTACTAACATTTTTATTAAGTCTGTAGGTGAGCATATCGGACATAGCTGCTGTACTTCATTGTTTCCTAAAAATTTTAGTTAGCCCTCTGATGTTTAAAACAAGGCAAAATACAGTCAAACATCCCATAAGCACACCCTCGTAACGAGAAAAAGTGTTGCTTAAGGGAGGTGTCCGGTTATGGGAGGTTAAAAATGCAGTGTTTGTATGTGGCTGGGACCATTACTTATGTGTCCACTTATGGAAGGTGTTCACCTACAGGAGGTGTCTGTCAGCGGAGGTTCAGCTGTATACCTAAGTTAAGACACAATTTGTCATAATTAAGGTCTAATTTTATACTGTCTTACCACTTCAGCAACCAGGTCTTGGCGGATTAACCGCCGTGTGGATGTCACCAGCTGTAAAAACAATAGCTTTTGTTTAATAAACATTTCAAAATTAACTCAATTCATGTAACTAACCAAGTAAACAATTAAATATTTAAAGATGTAATAATTGTGCTTTTGGAGGCCTATTTATTCAATATGTTATTAGTTGTAATCCCTATACCACATAATGTGTAGTTGCAGAAAATATCCATACCTCTCCTCATGGAAAGGATTTTTTCCTAAGACCCCCCACCACTCTGGAAATTTCAATTAAGCTTCCTATATTTCTTTAAATTTTTTGGTCTTACAGAACCCTCAACCTCCCAGGAAATTCCAATCCCTTCTGTGGTGGGAGTATAGATATTTTCTGGAACTGCTCAATGTTAAAATCTTTGCTTGCTACATCTTTGTTTTGCTACATGCAGCTTTTAGCACAGCTAATTCTTCAGAAAAATGAATGCTAAAGACATCAAGTTATACAAAACAAGACAATGTTTCATAATTACATTTGTCATCCCTTCAATCGTTGCTTCAAGATCACGCAGTCTCTCAGCCTCCCTCTCTGCTTGATCGACCTCCTTCTCTCCTCGGTTCATTCTATCGGCTAGCGTCTTTATCTCTCCCAAAGCTAGTTGAAGACTTCCATGATCTGGGTGATCATGAGGAGTGTGTTTTATCATGTCCTGAAATAGGAGATGAAAAAACCTTCCACTGAGCTTGTTTTTCCCTCAAAAGGAACATGTAGCTAAATTTTGATAGCAGTATTTATGAAGTAAAGTTCAAGTATAAAATAAAATTTATTACATATTATTCATAAATACAGAAAAAATGTAGAACTACTGTAATTAACCAATCAGTGTAAAATGCAGACTGCAGACTGCAGACCAGGGGAAAAATGCAGACTGTACACCGTAAACTTTTTAACTGAATAGTACTTACATTTCCATCATTGAGAGCTAACTGTGAACAGGCTGACCGGAGTATTATTTTGGCTAACCTAAGTGATATTCAGGCTTAACAGAGTGATATTCAGTGTAAAAGGAGTCATAGTCAGGCTAACCAGAGCGCAGACTTTCACAGTGATTAGCTTGAATAATTCACAATACATACTTAAAACGTCTGTAGTCTGCAGTCTGCATTTTACTGCTGGTCTGCATTTTATCCCTGGTCTGCAGTCTAATCTGGGGTCTGTAGACTGCGTTTTACACTGACCATGTTCTTATTATTACTTACTTTCAGTATTAGTTCATATCTTGGTATTCTTTGCACTGGCATGATCATCAGATCTTGAAGGGTCAGTTTTTCTTTGTGATCTCGGGAACATTGCTGGAAATAAGCATGTACTTGTGAGATTCATCATCCATTGGGCTTAAGGAATTATACAAAAGTAGTTAGGTAGTTGAACAATAAAGCAACTGAAATGCTTTTTAACAGTACCTCCATGTATCGCACAAAAGCAGGCCTGGTTACTGTGGCTACCCTTACAGCAGCTCTGGCTTGCAGAAAATGATTTATGAATGCGCTGTAGGCATCCACCAGAAAACACTTGGTAAACTAGAAACAAAAAAAGAGAAAATGTCAAGTGTTCCATCACAAAAAAATTGCTTAACAAGTAGATTCCATGTTGCCAGTAGCTGTCCATTAATAGAAAACAGATGATGTGAAAATGCAGTAAGGACAAAAAAGTGGCACACAAGATGATAGCTGAGTGTGTCACTGATGTTGAAGTTTCATGTACAGAAAGTTGTCGCCACAGCTTTGAGTGCACACTTACTAATGGCTTATTTTGACAATGTCTTACCGATGAAACAAAGATATCTCCAATCTTTTGCTTGTCATGCCATTCATTCACTCTGCCCTGCAGTTGCTGAAGGAAAAACTCATGACACAGCAGGATTTCAGGGATCTGATAAAACATCTCATCCACTTGGGCAGCTTCTACTATACCAGCATTCTCCTGCTTCTTGAGTGCCTTGTAATAACTCTGTCAGAATGATCAGACAATATTGATTTAGGTCAGTAAATTCAAACTTTCCCCTAGACAAGTCTTTATTAGATAACACAATAAATAATTACAGGCATGTACAAGCGGGGGGAGGATGGGGTTGGGGTTGTCTCCCATGTGGAAAAGTCAGAGTGCTTGTTGTGTTNTCGGTGTCAAAATTCACAATATCCGACAGGCTGTCTTTGAGATCTTGGCTGGCTCTGGGAGAAGACCCCATTCTCCGCTTCGAGTGTTTACGGGATCCTTTAGCTTTCATCTCGTCACAACTGGAGTCATTTTCCTCGAACTCAAACACATTTTCGTCTTGACTACTGTCCAAGCCGTCGGCACTTCCCGTAGTTCCCAAACTACTGCCTTCGGGACTGAGTCGGCCGTCGACGTCGAACGGCGAGCTTCCGTCGGTGAATTTCCCGCCAAGAAAACTCTCTTGACCCAGTCCCTCCTCGTCTTCGGAACTGCTATCAAACGCCATGATGTTTTGTGGACCGGTGACATCTTCGTCGCTGGCATAACCTGAACGTGAAATTTTGGGCGTTGTGTTTCCTTTACTGCTCTTCTCACTTCCCAGAGAGATGGACTGAGTGTCGGATTTGGTTTCGTTTTCGGACTGGAGTGCTTCCAAACCGCTGAATTTCGTTCCAGGAACAGGTGAAATGCAGAGGATTCGAGACATACACACTGTTATGGAACCAAACGGCTGAAAAAAAAAAAGAACAAAACGAAATTGGTAAGCTTAGAATTAGTTTAAGATTACTACATGAATGAAACTTCATCTACAATACCCTTGCAACCATGCAAGAATCCAGTGTAAAATTACCCTCTGAATTTAGTGGTGAAAGATAGTTCTTGATAACCTTTCTTCTCAGAAATCTAGCACAGCCCTTTTACTAATTAATTTTCCCTAAAAACATAACATTTATGAAAGGATAATAACGTAATTTTAACTGTGAACAAATAAGTATTTAATAAGTGGCCTTGGGGAAAGCAGTAAGTTTTGTATCTGTGAGATCTTCGATGGTTCCACGATAGGTTGAGTTCGTGGAAGGGCTAAGGGGTCATAGTCACCTCTCCCACCCCTCCTTCCGCCTACCCTACCACCTGTAAGATTTAGAATCTGTCCTTCAATCTTTCTGTCAACATTTCAGAGAATCTCCCACTAACCCCCAAAGTGATTGCACAAAAGTAATTGCACCAATTAACTGCGAATTTTCCAGATCCATTGCAGCCCGGGGTCAATCTGACAAGATCAATGAGGCCACCTCCAAACATTTTACCCAGTACCTGAAGAACTAGGGGTAGACTGAGGGAGTGAAGAAAGCTGCTTGTTTACTAAGACCAGAAAAAAATTCAACTCTCACCTGAATCTGAGCTCCCATTCTGAGAATACACACTTGTCCAACGTAACCATCACTGTTACAAACCCAAACGTCTCCTGACCCGCAATGATTTCCTCTGTCAAGCATGTGTGGTACTTGGCAGGGTGAGGCACAAGTGAACTAAAACAACAGCAAACAAACCAAAAAATTCAGAAACAATAACAAGAAAGACTTTAAAGGTAAACATTCAGCAAACCACAAAAAAATATATTTCAAGAGAAAACCAAATAACCCTTATGCATGATGTGATCTAAGATGCAAATTTCACCACCAAGCCTTGGTTTGAAAATGCAAATTGCAAATTTTATCATGGACAAATTCCCAAAGCAGCAAAGAGGAAAAGAACACCCCTGTGAAAACAACACAAAGGTGCAAGAGGCTTGAGAAAATTTCTTGCAAACGAAGCTCGGTGATGAATTATGAGCATGTGACATAATCATACATAAGGCCTTTTATACTATGGGGAATATCAATGGTTACCTGCATTCCACTTCTTGTCTTGTTAATAGGAATACAATACTGAAACTCAGGAGGAAATATGTCTTTGGCATAGGCTAAAAAAAAAAAGAATTAAAGCAAAGTTTAAATAGCAAAAAAGAAAAATTGTAAGTCAATTGATAACAAATTTCTCAAAATTCAATTCTTACCAAGCTTTTGTTTTGCATCTTCAAAGTATGCTTCCCAGGAATTCTTAATTTCTGTTTCCAAGAACAAAAACTGAAAATCTTTTTCTTCAGGGCCATCTTCCCTATAAACAGAGACAATGTATGTTGAGTTACCTACATTCACAGAAGAGAACAAGATACATATCCTAAGAAATACACCCGGTATAAAAGGATTTGGAATTTCTAAGTACAAAATGGGGAGGGATCTATTGAGGAGTTGAGATATCTGTTGTGAGCACTTGCTATGCATGCTGCAGGGGTTTCATTGAGGGCCCAGCACCAGGAAAATTGACCAGCTAAGAGGATTATTTTTCCCACCTGGTTTGACCAACCATAGGAAAGTTTTTGTTATAAAGGCGTTCAGTTCAAAAAGTCTAGCCGCCTGTGAAAACCACTTGCCCTCCTTCTGAAAATGTTAATGAAACCCATGAGGCTGTTGAAACATGATATGGTTTGATTTAGCAAGAAATCAAAGACATATTTTCTGTCCTACTTACTCTGCCTGAGTAACATGCAGCTCTAACTTGGTGGAGGTAGGAGGCTGTAATGGGATTTGCTTCTCAGAAATCTGCCGATTGACTTCATTCATCAGTTCTCGAATAGCTCCATCTAGGGCCTGAAAGGCAAAATAAAAACAGTTTGAACCCCTCACAACAACATAAAAATACTCTACAGGTCCTTGTAATTTGTAATAGTCTTATAATAGTCTTTTGTTTACTAAAATTGATTTTACAGAATCTTATTTTAAAATCAGATAAAAGCAATGATCTTCAAAAGTCCAATATTTACCATATGTGAAATTGCTAAGGTGTCAGCCAAGATACTGATCTTGCTCAGTAAAGACATGTCATTGTCAAGTCTCTCCAACTGCTTCTCTAGACTATTCCGTCTCTGGGCTTCAGGAGATGCTATGCAAAAGTAACAAGGCAGTAAATTAAAATCAACAGAGTTTGAATAATAATATATAAACTATATAAGGTAAGGTAAAGTCTGTATACATATATACGAGGTAAGTGGCCCGTCAGGCCGGTGCTTATCCCAGTTTCAGTAGCATGAAGTGACTAGGAGTATTTCTATCCCCCCCCCCTCCTCCCCTGGATTGGATGCTAGTCCATCACAGGGTTACCCACAGCATTAAATTTGCCCATACCCATTTATACACTTGAGTGTAGAGAGGCAATGTGATAGTTAAGTAAAGGACATAACACAATAGCTCAAATGCGGACCGCTTAAGGCCACCGCGCCTCCCACAATATAAACCATATGCACACTAATTAATCTGCACAGGACACAGATTCTTCCAAACTGAAATGGGAAAAATTAAAATTGTGCCAACATTTCTTGTCTGTATATATTTCCTCTGAATGGAAAACATTTTTGGGAGAGTTTCAAATGTAAGTGTTTTAGTCAAGAAAAAAGGGGCTTCACAAGGCTGAAATTCTTACACCCAGTAAAATAAATATTAGGCTGACACTACACCACTAGAACATAGATACAAGACGTTAGCTGGAAAAGAAAATACTCACATTTGTACACTTCCACACTATCAAGGTGTAGTCTCCAGAGTAGTTTGTACTTGTTGAATTCAGTGCCAGAGCCAGAAAATCTAACCAACAATGGAGAAATTAGTTGGACAGAGCTCAAATAACATCAACCAAAAATTCCACTGGCACACTTCCTACATGGACATATTTTTGTATTCTCTAGTTACAATCTCGTGCTGTTTGTTTCTGATGCTTATATTCCACCATCAAATTTTGCCTTGATTCATTTGCTACATAGCATGACCTTTAATCAACATAAAATCTATATACTGTATCAACTTACATGCTTAGTGAACCTCGTCTGAGAGCATTAGCCTTTCGCTTGACAGTTGCACAAACCAGCATATCATTAAACAAGAATAGGCATCGGTCCTTCTTGGTTATTGTTCCTTTCTGTTAGAATAAACATCCATGAGATACATGAAGGCAACATTTCTACTAACATTTTTATTAAGTCTGTAGGTGAGCATATCGGACATAGCTGCTGTACTTCATTGTTTCCTAAAAATTTTAGTTAGCCCTCTGATGTTTAAAACAAGGCAAAATACAGTCAAACATCCCATAAGCACACCCTCGTAACGAGAAAAAGTGTTGCTTAAGGGAGGTGTCCGGTTATGGGAGGTTAAAAATGCAGTGTTTGTATGTGGCTGGGACCATTACTTATGTGTCCACTTATGGAAGGTGTTCACCTACAGGAGGTGTCTGTCAGCGGAGGTTCAGCTGTATACCTAAGTTAAGACACAATTTGTCATAATTAAGGTCTAATTTTATACTGTCTTACCACTTCAGCAACCAGGTCTTGGCGGATTAACCGCCGTGTGGATGTCACCAGCTGTAAAAACAATAGCTTTTGTTTAATAAACATTTCAAAATTAACTCAATTCATGTAACTAACCAAGTAAACAATTAAATATTTAAAGATGTAATAATTGTGCTTTTGGAGGCCTATTTATTCAATATGTTATTAGTTGTAATCCCTATACCACATAATGTGTAGTTGCAGAAAATATCCATACCTCTCCTCATGGAAAGGATTTTTTCCTAAGACCCCCCACCACTCTGGAAATTTCAATTAAGCTTCCTATATTTCTTTAAATTTTTTGGTCTTACAGAACCCTCAACCTCCCAGGAAATTCCAATCCCTTCTGTGGTGGGAGTATAGATATTTTCTGGAACTGCTCAATGTTAAAATCTTTGCTTGCTACATCTTTGTTTTGCTACATGCAGCTTTTAGCACAGCTAATTCTTCAGAAAAATGAATGCTAAAGACATCAAGTTATACAAAACAAGACAATGTTTCATAATTACATTTGTCATCCCTTCAATCGTTGCTTCAAGATCACGCAGTCTCTCAGCCTCCCTCTCTGCTTGATCGACCTCCTTCTCTCCTCGGTTCATTCTATCGGCTAGCGTCTTTATCTCTCCCAAAGCTAGTTGAAGACTTCCATGATCTGGGTGATCATGAGGAGTGTGTTTTATCATGTCCTGAAATAGGAGATGAAAAAACCTTCCACTGAGCTTGTTTTTCCCTCAAAAGGAACATGTAGCTAAATTTTGATAGCAGTATTTATGAAGTAAAGTTCAAGTATAAAATAAAATTTATTACATATTATTCATAAATACAGAAAAAATGTAGAACTACTGTAATTAACCAATCAGTGTAAAATGCAGACTGCAGACTGCAGACCAGGGGAAAAATGCAGACTGTACACCGTAAACTTTTTAACTGAATAGTACTTACATTTCCATCATTGAGAGCTAACTGTGAACAGGCTGACCGGAGTATTATTTTGGCTAACCTAAGTGATATTCAGGCTTAACAGAGTGATATTCAGTGTAAAAGGAGTCATAGTCAGGCTAACCAGAGCGCAGACTTTCACAGTGATTAGCTTGAATAATTCACAATACATACTTAAAACGTCTGTAGTCTGCAGTCTGCATTTTACTGCTGGTCTGCATTTTATCCCTGGTCTGCAGTCTAATCTGGGGTCTGTAGACTGCGTTTTACACTGACCATGTTCTTATTATTACTTACTTTCAGTATTAGTTCATATCTTGGTATTCTTTGCACTGGCATGATCATCAGATCTTGAAGGGTCAGTTTTTCTTTGTGATCTCGGGAACATTGCTGGAAATAAGCATGTACTTGTGAGATTCATCATCCATTGGGCTTAAGGAATTATACAAAAGTAGTTAGGTAGTTGAACAATAAAGCAACTGAAATGCTTTTTAACAGTACCTCCATGTATCGCACAAAAGCAGGCCTGGTTACTGTGGCTACCCTTACAGCAGCTCTGGCTTGCAGAAAATGATTTATGAATGCGCTGTAGGCATCCACCAGAAAACACTTGGTAAACTAGAAACAAAAAAAGAGAAAATGTCAAGTGTTCCATCACAAAAAAATTGCTTAACAAGTAGATTCCATGTTGCCAGTAGCTGTCCATTAATAGAAAACAGATGATGTGAAAATGCAGTAAGGACAAAAAAGTGGCACACAAGATGATAGCTGAGTGTGTCACTGATGTTGAAGTTTCATGTACAGAAAGTTGTCGCCACAGCTTTGAGTGCACACTTACTAATGGCTTATTTTGACAATGTCTTACCGATGAAACAAAGATATCTCCAATCTTTTGCTTGTCATGCCATTCATTCACTCTGCTCTGCAGTTGCTGAAGGAAAAACTCATGACACAGCAGGATTTCAGGGATCTGATAAAACATCTCATCCACTTGGGCAGCTTCTACTATACCAGCATTCTCCTGCTTCTTGAGTGCCTTGTAATAACTCTGTCAGAATGATCAGACAATATTGATTTAGGTCAGTAAATTCAAACTTTCCCCTAGACAAGTCTTTATTAGATAACACAATAAATAATTACAGGCATGTACAAGCGGGGGGAGGATGGGGTTGGGGTTGTCTCCCATGTGGAAAAGTCAGAGTGCTTGTTGTGTTGCTTAGCAGTGTAAATCACAGATTTTGGTCTTGCTTAGAATGTTCAGGACAAAATGCCGCCATTTGTAGCTATCAGGGTATCTTTTAGAGTTGCACACAAAGAAATAATTAGAAAATGCTGTCATGTCCATTTTAAAGTGGTATCTTTTAGTGATCAAACTAAGCCTGAGCTATACTCAGATTGGTCTCCTTTAGGGATTTACTGGTAATTCAAATTTTCCAACAAGCATCCTCAAGCTTTTCATAAGGGAGTCCCCCTCCCCCCTCCCCTCCCCTCCTCATGGGTATACAATAACCCATTTGAGCAAAATGTCCCATGTCATGTATGCTATGATAGACGATTGCAATGCTGAACCACACATATAAAATCAATAAGTTCTCTGATATAGTGAACCCTTACTTCACATGTAAGACTCGGTCCCTGATCTCTAACACTTTTCTATGACAAATGAACCCAGACTTGTTCCCTACTTGCGACCAATAAAGACCTCAAGCAAAATGTGCAAATTTACCCAATGCAAATGTACCCAGTCAATTTCCTAACAATTAAAGTAAGGCAGATCTTTTGCTTTTGGAAAGCAATTCACATCAAAAATGCAACTGAATATATCATAAATCATGCAAAGAGAAGCAGCAAATTAATCTTATTGCCATGGTATCATCAGTGTTAGCAAAGCATTTTGATATGCTACTGTTATGTTCTAAATTTGCTTGTTTGCCTATTTTTTGTTTCTAACTGGCAGGCACCCAGATTTGTTAGCGGGCTTAGGGCTGGGTTGCAGCAGCAGACGTGTGAAGGTTTCTGGGTATGTACTAAAGTGCTTAAATCCAGTCAAGGTTTCTCTGTGATTATACCAAACAGACTAGTCTAGTAATATATTGTTATCATCATCATTCACTTTATTGAAAACACAATAAAAATATTCCGTAATTACAATAACTAGTATACCATATGTGATATATGGTACTTTTTTTTATTTCAATTGTTGACCTTCATGTACTGCAAAATTTTGTTAAAACTTTCCATGATAAAGAAATGACACACAGTTCCATCAAGCTTTGATATGTCTATAAATAGGTATGAAATTTCTAAACAGCATGTAATGTCATTGGTCAAAAGGTGACGGAAATGAAAACAAAAATGAACCATTTGGCCTGGCACTCACGCGATACCCACACGCAAACCTGTATGCAAGACTAGTGCACAATTAGTATGCATTCTAGAAGTCCTAACACTTTGCACATTATTCCATGCATTAACGCTACGCAGTACTTCCTCAATCAGAAAACTTCAGTGGGCAACATTTATTTATTCAGTCTCTCATCAGTTACTCTGCATCATGCATGTTGGCACATAAGGACATCACTAGTGCTATGTATTTATAGGTCAATATTTATTCAGACAGTAATTATTCCTGTCTAGAAATGGTCCATGGCTAGTGCTCAGTCTTCAGTGTAATTTATTCACTCTCACATCAGTCACAATGCTTCGTGCATGTTCACACATAAGGACATCACTAGTGAAACTTATTTATAGGTCAATATTTATTCAGACAGTAATTAGTACTGTCTAGAAAAGGTGTTTCAAAATGGTCCATGGCTAAGTGCTCCATCTGTCCTTGTGTGCACATGTACATGTGTTAAAAGTTGCAAAAAATGCACTGTGATAAGAGTACTGACATGGTTGCTGTAAACAAATTCAATACATGATTGACGTGTTTAAATGTGATGTCCCCCTTACTAATAAAAAAACTCTAAGCAAAATTCACTTTGCCCACTTGATTTACTGCTAGCAGATTAGTTTTCTGTGCAATTTACACAAAAGTGACAATTACAAACCACAAAGAACTAAGTTGAAGTATATTAATAACAGAGATGTTTTTTAGAACAAGGTTTACTGATTGTGTTTTAAAGTAACACCAATGCCACAAGAATTCAAAGCATTCAGTTCACAATGACCATTTTGCTCTAACGTCTCAATGACTACACACAGGAAAAAGCAGTTCAATCAAAGCATCTTATTTACTGATGGTAACAGTGGTTGAGTTCCGCATTTTTGGTTCGATTGGCAATGTTCATTGACTTAGTCATTTCCCAGCTCTCAAGCCAGTTCATACTAGATAATGTGAAAACAATACAAAACAAATTGAGAGGTAGACCTGTAATGTCAACAGGAAATGAAGACATGCAAGGAACAAACAGACAAAGGTTTCACTCTGCAAACGGAAACAAAATAACCAACACTCTGAGGGGCAGACAATAATGCTAATTGTTTCAGAGCATCCAAACACAAGGAAAATGATAGGAGCCATTTTCAATGCAAACAACACCAGTTTGAAGGTTTACGTAATGTCTCATTAAATAAGAAAATTTCCTGCAACGGTAGCATTCTTTAAGGGGATTGCATGACCACTTATGTAAAGAGAGCTTCAGCTAATTGTGGTATCCATTATCAATCTTTTCAATTCTCATCCCATTTGCAATACAATACTCTTTAGCTTTCACCTTCCAGAGTGTTTCACAATGAGTGGCATTACAGGTATTCTAACCTTGTTGTAATCAATGACTCAACACGTTTTCTTACAGAGGTTCATTTTGAAAGCAAAATCATGTGATTTAAGACACATTTCTTTCATAACAGTCAATCCATAGTTTTTATATCTCCAACAACATTTTGTTATCCCTGTCTACAATTTCAGGTTAACCAAAAACGCCAATCAAAAGTTCAATTATACTTAGTCTTGGAAAATCACAAGAATTAGGAATCTGTTATCTAAAAATAGGCTTATACACTTAAAGCCCATTATGACCTTCTTAGGAAAATTGTTTGAAACCTATCCTAAGATAAGACCAATTAACCATTAAAATAATAACAGGATAATCATTGAAGTAAGTCAAATCTTCCCTCTTAACACACAAATCCTCGAGAGGTTAAATTCTTTTAATTAAAACGATCCCAGTCTTAGCTTAAAAGGCCAACAGTTGTCAAGCGTTTTGGTTATGCATGTTAATCTTCAAAATACCTACTTTGGCTTAAATTTTTCTAGTGAAGAGATGTGCCTGTAATTGAATTACACTCTGTTTAAAGGCAAATGCAACCTCCTTCAATGTGGCTTCAAGTATAAGTCACTATCCTTTATAATCATTTCAAAACTTTCATACAGCTATTGTAGATGAATAATGCAATTTCACCTATTTGAAGTCACTGGATGATCTTTCATAGTTACTGTTTGCATGTTTCTTTTCTGATAAATTCTATTTATCTCTTATTGCTTAAACACCTTGTCTATAGGATCTGTGAACCCAAAAGGAATCCTCTAATCTGTTTTTGTCTTTTTCATTATTTCTATCCCTAATCTTCTAACAAATATTTTTCATATGTTTAAAAACAAATCTTTTCAAATTTAGAGAATACAGCCTGTTACAAAACATTTCGTACGAGTACAGAATGCACTGTACCACAACCAATTTTCAAAACGAAAAATGAAAATACTTTCAAATAAGTTTTAGATTGATTAATTTGCTTGTAAATATTATTTTCCAACCAGAGACAAAGGCATTTAAATAAATATTGTATGTACTAAACATGTTTTTCAAACTGGTTTTTATAAACCATGTGAATTCAACAAGCTGGATAAAAAACACCAGTTAATATTAGACAATCATATAACATTTTCCAAGCTGATAATTTAATATTATCCCCTCTAAATGATGACAAGGAGGAGAAACTCATGTTTTCTGTTACTGGTGGGGAAATGAAATTATTTTACTCTCATGGTGCAGTTCTACATCCTGGGAGTAAAAGCACTGGACTTGTAGAGGTATGGGGGTTATGTTGAGCTGAAATACTCTCAGTTGCTTAAACATTGATGGTCACAGACTGCACTGATAAGCTACCAAATTTTGAAAATACATCACAATTTAGCTTTTCTATCTATTATAACTAATACCATTTAAACCTACCGAAACAAGGAACTGAAGGTTCTGCACATAAGACATCTCCGTGTCCAGCAAATTTTTCAGTACATGAGCTCTCAGGTCCTAGAGAAAAAGCAAAGCATTATATAAGTAGGAGCCTATTACCTCAAATAAAGACACAGTACACTTAAAAACGTATAATTATTTATATTCCTTTTATATGGTACAACCAAAAGCGACATTCAAATGACAAAAAATACTGCAAAAGACTTGAAAGCATCATTCATTCACATATAACTGGTATTCGTTTCCTTTAATGTGCACAACTGATACAGAAATGTATTCTTTTGGTATCAACTATACAAGGAAAAAAATTGTCAAATACTTGTGAAAAAATAGTTTGTGGCAAGTTTCTGAGCATGATGCTCAATGAGTTTGCTGTTAAATTCTGAAAAGACTTTGAAGAGTCTCTTGGCTGAGTCAAAAAGCTGCATCAGACTTGCTACAAACTGGTATCAACTAATAACAAAATGAAAAAAAGCTCACCAAAGAGGATAGATGCCAAATATAATAAGTGATTTTGTTAAAAATGAGAGAGAAATACGACAAATATTCCTATTAAAAAACATCAAGTTTCCAGCTGGCATTATTTTGAAAGAGTTGTTCCTGGCAATACAAACATCAGTTACTTTTGAATGCATCCTAACTTTTCTGAATGCCTTTTTTAAAATACAGTAATTTTTTTTCTTAGATATGATGTTGCACGTAACTATGGACAAAATGTCAACAGTACTTGCAGCAATTCGAAGCCAAAATAAGATAAAGTGCTAATAAGGATTTATCTAGAATTCCAACTAATCTTAGTTTAACTGAATCCTTTCATTTAGTTTCATGTTACTTACATGAAGAATGCTCAGCAGGTTACATCACTTCAGTAATTTAGACTTGTTAGTAGAAATGATCAACAGTTGCTTTTTTCCCAACATGTTGCTAATTTTTCCTTTCAACTGGTGATCTTGAACCTTGGCCTTGGAAATGGAATACTTTAATCCAGACTTTCCTCTGGTTAGTTAATATTTTTCTGTTGATGTCATTGATCCAATGCATGCTAAACCGATAACTATTAATATGCTTTCATACACATATGTACATGTCTATTTTCCTCTCCAGGAAAGTGCTGATAAAATTTTCTTAAAAAACTTGTCCTCATAATTTGTGCCTTTTGATGAACACAGTGGAGTCACAAGTTTTCAAACCCTCTATTTTTCTTACATCCCGATAACTCAAACCAAACGTTGTTCCCCTCCACTGAGTCAAACCCAGTTTTTCAAACCAATTTTCTTTTCCCATGGAGGTTCAAAAAAACTCTAGATTCCACTGCAGTGACATGGAGTAATTGTCTCTGTTTTCTTTTCTTAAGGAAACTACTGTACAAACTAACATGTACATGTATGGCAATTAATCCTGTATAGTGAATTTACATTAGCATTATAAAATTGTATTTAATATATGCATAGTCCAGATGACAGCAAAATCTCTAGGGAAACAAATCAAAGCTTGGGTTTACACATCATTTTAATTGGAACAGAGCATTTAAAAGCAATCCTATTAACTATGAAGTATAGGATTCTTCTGAACACCACAACATATCTAACAACATTGTTTACTGACAACAAAGAAACAAACCACAGACAGGAAACATTATGGAAATCAACATCGACATCATCAATCAAAAGGCTTGTAATATTTGGCAACTAATCAGCACGACTTCATGAGCAGACTGCCTTATCACCTGGGAAATCTACTGCACAGAAATAGCCAAAACCCTCCCATCATTTAAGATCCATTTAAAACTCTTTCCTTCCCACAGCCAACAATGTCTTAATTTGAGCTATTAAGCTCTTAATTGAGGGCTGCAAGCAAAGTTTTGTTCTAAATTTAGAAACCGTTTGGATCTTAACACTCTCCTCCTTTTGCCACTTTTATTAACTGTGTTTATTACATGCATGGTTGGTTTTATTTGCTAATTCTTTCCCCCCTGGATTGCATTGAAAAGCTCCCTACAAAACAGCCAGGATGAAGTCATGAAACAGCTAGCACATGTGGGTGTTAACATACTGTACAAATTTTATTGATCATCGGTCAGAATAATTAAACTTCTTACAAGAAATTCCTGTTTCTATGAGGAACAGGTCTGTTTTCAAACAAAAAGGCACTTTAACTTCAGCAACAACTCAATTCTGTTTTCACTTTAAATATCAACAAAATTGTTATGATACAAAAAATTATTCCTCTTAGTTGCACAGATGACAAAATTAATACTCTAGGCTGTATTGCTATCTTTGTGACAATAAATCTGCTGACTTTTTTTTCTTGTTCTAATGAGCTCTCTGGAAGATTTTTCCATTTTATAAATAGAGTTACACAAAACAGGTGCAAAGTGTAAATTTAATAAGTAATGTTCAGTAAATGCTTGACATTTGTGAACCATGCCATCATTTCCTGCTCAACAGCTGTTACCTTAATAGACTTGTTCACTTTTTATTAAATTACTACTGTGTTTTTATGTTCCAAGAATGTTTTCTGGAGCTAAATGGAACTTAGGTGAAGTTAAAATCAAGGTAATTCTGGCCAGTGTAGATTGCTGCTCTCCTCTTCTCCTACCCTTAGGGAACCTACCCTCCAGTGTTTCAATTAACTTAGGGTTTAAAAGTTATCACATGAATGAACCTGCTGTTGTTAATTCATAAATTGCCACACAAACAAACATTATTAACTGTTGGGCCATGCTTCCCAGAATGCATAGATGTAAATTTTACACTCAAAGACAACAAAAGACCTCAAATACTGCAATTTAGAGAACTTTTGACACCAGCCATAGACATAACTCTACATGTGGTAAAGACAGAAACCTTTGTAACACCACGTTTGTTGAGTACCCTAAGGTTGTACTTACAGTTGATGTGTGCTTTCTTTCTCCAAGTTTTTAGGAGTGCAAGAGGCAGATATACAAGTGTATACAAGATATACAGGTTGTAGAGTAAAACAAAAACTAGAGTATCAACATTTTACTCACATGTTTGGACTTCTGTGCCTTTCCTGGCTCTTTAGTCACTGACAGCTTCCTCTTGTCCTCTTTTGGTACGGCTGCCGGAGAGGTGCAGCTACCTTCCAGTGCGGTACTTCGCTTTTTCTCAACTTTTGGCTTTTCTATAATGATAGCTGGTTCAGCATGTGGCATTTCAATTATTGTTTCCATTGCTGCCAGTTTATTGAGTTTAACTTGAGCCTTTTCTACCGCAAAAGAATTTGCTATTCTTTGCGACCTCGGAGTAGTTGGCGTGGTTGGTGTTGGTGCAGATTTGGCTCGCTGCACTGGTTTCGTGTGGTGCTCAGGTTTGTCCAGTTCATAACAACCATCATCTGGACTCAACTCAGCCAAAGAGGTATCTTTGTCATCATCATTATCATCATCATCATGTTCTGTTATCCCATGACTCTTTGGTTCTACTTGGTTTCCACCATTCACTCTCTTGGCCAACTGTTCAGCTTCTTCCTTTAATTTTTCTCCCGACAGATTAGGTTCACTGTTACTGTTGCGATGTGCTTGCAGCTCCGCCTCAGCAATGGTATCCTCTAACTGAGTGCCATGACTAGGGTCACTTTGGGAACGCCACGCATCCAAGGACTTAACACTAGCTGCAGCATCCATACCCAAGAGATCATCAACGGCATTGAGATCCCCAGTGCTGACCTGTTCAGAATGGGTTTCACTGAAACCACTGGTTGTTAAAGACAGTGCATCAAAACTTATTTGACTAGGACTTGGTGAAGGTACAGACCCGGGTGGAGGACTGCAGCTCTCTAAACTCTTATCATCTTGAAATGACGAGTCTGTATGCTGTTTAAGATCACCATTGTCGTACGGAATCACTTTGAGGTGACGTGAAACCTGATCTAAACTAAGATCACTGATGGTTTCTGCTTTCCGTAAACTTGGTGATTCAGGTACTACCTCCATTTTTGGCACATCTTCAACTTTCTTAGCTTCATCTTGGTAAAGTTCTGTTTTAATCAATGGCAGGGAAGCCCTTTTCTGTAATCTTCTCCTGGGGGAAACTTTTTGGCTAATATCCTCAAAAACATCATCTTTACTATGGTAGAAAGAATCAACTAGCCCCTGGTCCAGTTCACTGCCACCATTGTAGCCCAATGAATCTGCTGCGTCATTTTCTTCAGCGTCGGAAGCTGCCCTGGGAGTGCTGTCCTCATCAGTGTCATGTGCAATAATGGTGTCTCTGTTTGATCCATCAAACAGTCCTGAAATTTCTGTTAAACATGGACGAAAACAAAGAAAATGAACAACATAACTGCAATGAAGGGGGAAAGATACAAATACCTCTGACACTAAACTCATGGCTACAAGAAATTAGGTACTCAGTTTTAATTCAATTTTTACAGCACGAACTAACCAGAGAAAAGGACACCCCTTTTTGGTAAAAAAGCTACATAACAGAGCTAGAGGACTACACTTTTAGTTTAAAAGCATCAAGTGACATTAACTTGGAAACTAAAGCTTTTCTGACAACAACCGAATCAAGATGTGCCATTGATGTTTAATGCAAATTGATTTAAAGGTCATCAATTTTGACTTATCTCAAAAGTATGCAAAGTATAGAATCTCATTTGAATTTTGCTGCATGAATACTCCACTTCAAGATAATGAGCAACTAACAATCACATTAGGAATGTATCTTTGTTGCAGAAATGTGATTAAATGAAAGTTAACCAATTTGAAAACAAATCTTGGGTTTTATATAAATAGACTTACGCCTGTGGCACATAACTTAAATCAATTTAAATAAGTTGTTGTGTTTTGTAGGGAAACAATGACAGACCACAACACAATGTCCATTAATGAAATTAAATATAGCATTGTTTGAAAATTCCAAAAGCACTCGATAGGAGTAACTCAAAAGAACAATCCTACTTGTTTTTAAAACTACTCTGTTGTTTGATATAACTCTTCTTTTTTCTTTGTCATTTATTTCTAAATAATTTTTACACCTAATTTTTTTCTCTGTTATAGTTTATGCAAATATCGCCAAAGATGCAGCCATATACATAATCCTACCACTGATAACATGTACATTTCATAATAATGTGTAGGGAAATCTGTCATGGATAGTACAGTGCTACAGAAAAATTTCACATCAGCATAAATTCCCTTTAAATTTCCTTTCCATCCTCACTGTATGGCAATGAAAAATGAAAATGAAAATTCTGCTTAAGATGTACAGTTTGTTGTACTTGTGCAATTGCTAAACTGAAAAAGGTTAGTGCTGCATCAAGTCAGTCTGAAAGAACATATCTGACCTTTCAATTTTCAACTATGATCACATATAATTTCTCCTGACAAAATCAATATATTTTCATGCAGGCAAGTGAGGAGAGTAAAGAAATAATCAACAGGGGTAAGTGTTGTGATGTACCGTTACACTTCTCTTGACTATATATTGTTAAAAGATGTGCCCAGTAATTGGCAAGAAGAACAACATTATGTACTCTTACAGCGAAAAGCATTTTAGACTCATTACCTTTGTTGTAAGAAACATTGCCCTCCTCTACCATACCCCTTGAAGTTTCAAAATGGTCCATGTCATTTGTACCCTCTTCCTCTTCACCACTTAGAATTGTTGGTATTTTAGGTCGCGAGATTCTTTTTGTCCTCTTTTTAACTGGCTCCTTCACCTCACTATTTTCATCATCAAAACTTATCAAGTCACCCTCTGCGACAACTGGAGGCACCGCAGTCCTCATTGTTTCATGGGGGTTAACTGGATCAAACTCTTTCAGTACTCTTTTTGTATCACTGTTTTCTTCTGAGTTGTACCTCCTTGAGGATGGTACTGCCGAATGGGATGGTGAAGAATCAGAATTGGAATTGTTGTTCAATGGCGGCACTGCTAGAGGCTGCATGGGGAGTTCTGCAGAGTTTTTCTGAGCCCTAACGTAGGATAACCTCCGTAACGTAGATTTAGTGTCCTCCGCAGAAGGTGATGTTGTTCTATGATCTTGTGATGTCCTTACAGGTGAGCTCCTCGATAGGTGTGATTTTTTGGACATTTTTTCAACCTTTTTTACCTCGTAACTATCATCCTCCTGTATATCCACAAATTCATCTGTTTCTTGGACAATAGAAAGAGGTCGATTACCATGCCTTGGCACAGGCTGTAATAAAACATCGGCTGATGTTGAATTACCCTTCTCTGGCCGCGAGTCTGCAAATGCTACAGGAGCAGATACAGGTGGGCTTGGTTCATGGTCATTAATAGTTCTTTTGTTAGGTTTTACGGGAACAAATGCACTTCGCGRRGAAGCTAGTTCACTATCAGGCAGATTAGAATACAATCTGGACTCTCTGGTGTCAATTGGCRCAGRGGCAGGGGGTGCAGAATTGCAGCGTGCCTCCTGCTCCTGCAAAACAGGAACATCGTACACGGTGCTAGCATGCCCTCTATCAGGGGCAATATTACTGCATTCACTGTCACTGAAAAGTGAGTCTTTACTTGATTTCCGCACGAATGGCTTTGATTTGAGGCTAAACGGGTTCTTGGACAGTGATGGAGATTCTGAACCTTGCCTTGTCAAAGGGGGTCTGTCCCTGGACAGTTCTCTGGAAGATGATTCAGTCTGAGGTCTCCCCCTGATTTTAAACGATTCCCTCTCCTCGGTAGATCTCCTCCTTTGAGGCAGGTTTTCTTTGTCGTTCAACCGACTATCGGCAAACGAAGTAAACGAGCAAATTTGGATTTTTCTGACTTTAGCTATGCTAGTCCCTTTTGGAGATAACAACGGTGACTGGATTCTAGAAGGGTCGCTAGGAAGTCCCGCTCCCTCCAGTGAGCTCACAGAAGTCATACTACTTGACCTGATTTTGTTAGCAGCATTTCGGAGCTCCTTGTAGCTCACAAGAGGCGCTACGTTGGAAGGCTCATCCGATGGAAACTGCGTCCTTCTTTTCCTCTGCGAGTAAGCCGCGCTGCTCGTGTCGGACGGTTCACTGACGCTCTGGTTTTCGGACTCGCTGGTGTTGTCGTCGCCGTATACACTTGAGCCAATCGACTTATTGGACGGCTTTCGCCTAATGCGCCGTCTGCGCTTAAGCGGTGTGTCAAGGGATGAGCTGATATCGCTTTCCGATTCTGTCGATGAACCCTGGGTGTCTGTCGGTGACTCCGAATACGAGGTAGAAGTCGAACGTCTCGTAACATTTTGTCGGCTCGATCCCGAAAACTTTACATCGTTGTAAACAATGCTGCCGCCATCTTTATTCCGCCTTCCTCGCGTTCTTGTCGAGTAATGGAATTCGTTCGTCGCAGGCCTGTTTCTCTGATCGTCTCGGGGACGATAGCTATTTTCCTGAGTCGCATTCCATTGCATTTCTGTTTCTGCTTGGCCCTTAACACGCACCGATTTCGAGTGTCTGTTCGTTGGAGCTTTGCAGAAAACCAAGTCACTGTTGTTAATCGTGTCTCTAGGCAAACCTTTCACGTCAGATGAAAGGCCAGTGGGATAAGTAGCATTTTGTCCATAGTTGGAAACTGAAGGGGGCGGAAATAGCGTGCGGCCGGCCCGGTCGCCTCGCTGAGTTAACTGTTCACTTGCTGGTATCCCTGGAATGTTGTCCATGAACTTCGTTCTTTCCGAATCGGCTGTCGTGCCAGCATAGAGACTCGAGCTCGATTTAGGAGAATAATCCTGTGTGTTTCTCCCAGATAAGTGCGGTGTAACATAGTCCAGCGATGGCTGCGGGCCCTCACTTACCGCAGAACTAGAAACATGACTACCATGAGTGCGCGCTTTAGAGATTTTTAATTGAGCCTTTTCACTCGTCTTCCCGTACGCTTTTTTGTGCGAAATGCTCACTTCCGTTGGTTCCACTTCACTAGCTCCCATCCGAGCTCTATGGGCTCCTCGCCCTTCTCTGCTCCCTTCGTGCCGTCTTTCACTTCTCGAGCGCGCCTGTGTCGCGCTCGGTGGAACTGATCTGCCAGTTTCGGCGTCAAATTGTGCTGGGCGAGTGGACATCCTCGTTTACAGTTTGTAGGAATTCAATTGCGCCGTCAGATGTCCGTGGTCGTTCGTCGAATTCACTGCGCACAGATGTATAACACTAAAATATTTACCACTAACAGATCTTCGATTCCACACGCCAAGATTCAACGAACAATGCTCAAGATTCCTAGACATTACACTGCCTTCATTCGCATATTTAACTCCAACAGGTTAGGATCGCTTTGATGAGTAAGACCAACACAGTGTCTTTCCAGCTCGCACACACACACACTTGTGTCATGTAAATCGCGCCCACGACGTCAAAAAACCTTCGAGGGAAACAAAAAAATTTGTGTCACAATGTTTTATAGGTTAGACGCACTCACGCGTACATAAATTTACCCTTCATAGTGAAGTTATCTGTTACGCTAAATTTAGCGCACGGGGTAGTAACTCAACACCGGTGCGCGCATTTGATTGACAACCGTGGGCGCATAGACTGCGGTGTATCCGATCACAGAGGTCTGCTGAAGCTAAAAGACTTTACAACTCAACAGATTTAACGGGTTAATTCTGCAAGTTTAATCATTGAATGCAGGCAAATTGTGGGCGAAAAAAGGCACCGGAAATACACACGTAAAAGGCTTCTGAAAGATTCAGCCAACTAAGCTGTCCCAAAGGCGCCCATCGGCAAACAAGTGGAAAAAGTACTTCATCCGACCAAACAATGTTTTGACGCAGTATTTTAGCAGTACACTACCTGCAAAGAAAGGTGTCAAAGCTATTCTTCTCGCGAGACAAAGGCATTCTGTTTTTGTTGGATCTCATTTTAAGCGCAAAGCATTGTTTCAGAAAACCAATCGTTAGCGAGTTTCCAATCAGTGTTAATTTTGAGGAAAAACAAATTCACGCTGCACCACAATTAAACGTCTACGCTCTATTATGGCTTAATTAAAGATATATTATTCGTCTTGATTGGCTAGTTGTGCCAAAAGCCGAACCAATTAGTAGATTATTATTTATCAATCACTATTCTATTGAAGAGTTTTCATTCCCCGGAAATTCTTGTCGCTTCTTTCGCCAACTCTTTAACTAAGTGGCTTAGACAAGACTCGTCTTTTGAGGAAAAAAATGACCCAAATACAAAATAAAAACAAAGACGAGACCTTGATGTGTGGCGTGGGGTGACAAAAAATCTTTGCTTCACTGAATGTAGGAAAGTCTGCATCGGCACCATAAAGTGCTTACAGTGTAATTGCTAAATCAATTGTTTTTCACAAGTATGCATTTAACGAAAATACTGATTAAGTAAAAAATGGTTATTGGTTAAGTACAGTACTTCCGAGAGGTTCTTGGATCATGTTACCTTACAAGAAATCGTAACCACTTTTGTCTCTAACCTCAACTTGTCTTGTTCAAAAATAAAGTCGTCACGTGTGAATTCCTCACTGTGTTATCCCTTTGCCATTCTGTTATGTTACAGATCTCCAGCCCATTGGGGTATTGCCCGGGGGGGTGAATTAAAACAGTTATGTGGTTATATATTAACTGGTCGTTTATCGTAGCCGACTTTAGCAGCTCGTATTTCATTCTTAGCTGTGTGCATTTAGGATTACGTTTCGCATTGTTACCTCGCTGTTGACACAGATTTGCACGGCTCACCGCGGCTCACTCTATTTTAGATGCGCCACACATTATAAAACAGGCCGGCAAAACCACCAGCTCTTACAGGTTAGCGTGACTTGAAGTTTACAAAAACACCTGATATTCGCACATTCCCTAGTCCTTTATTTGTTTTGAATGTTTGTTTTCTCTAAACTTCCTCCCCGCGGTTTGCCATTGTTAATTTATTTTTCCCTTTGTTAATTTATTAACAAGAGCTCGCATAATTAAGCCCCAGTGTGACCTTGCGTATTTGATTGATCCGTGACTCGAGCGATGGTTTCACGTAGCCCATGCAACAGAGAGGCATTGAAAGCAGAAGCATTTGAAAAACATTGCCGGGCATAACTTGAATACTTCTCGACTCGAGTGATCGCGGGCGATATGATGCGCATCACGTCACGCGCGTCCATCGCGCGTGTCTTAATGGTATGCGGATTTAACGAGTTGCGATATGTTTTTTTGTGCGGATGGAACAACAATGGCAATAGATAGACGAATAAAATTTCAGTCATGTGTCAGGAACGAAAATATGCTCTCGATCTTGACGTGATGAGGGAAGTGAATGCAAATAATTATGTACTGTAATCAGAACGGTTTTTTTTGACAGCCCTCAGTCGATCCAGCTTGATCTTAGAAACAGCACTTGCAAGAGAGCTGTGGAAAAGCTAGGTTTCAACAGTACAAAACATTGTCGTTTCATGTGTAGCAGCAGCCTTCACCTCCATCTCTTTATTACTTCAACAAACTTCCCGAGTTTTTTTTAGGGCACTGAAGGCCAAGTCAAACAAAACGAGATGAAAATATCGCAGTGTCATAAAGGTGATCGAGATAACGCCGAAGATAAGTATTGGACTCAAAGATAAATCTGTAAAATGAGTGCAAATAAAAGAGCGCCCCAGCGATAAATGGTTTAGCGGCCAATAAAAGAGTTCATATCGAGATTTTTGTACCGTGTCCCAAGAGCACAGAATTGGACATAACATGACCAGCAACGAGCTCTAGATAGTACAGGAATAGACTTTGCAGGTCCTGGGTTTGTATTTATATGAAGGTGTCTGTAACAATAATAGCCCCTGGGGTTTGGTATTCTAAAGGCGTCAAAAACAACGCGCGAGGTGTCTACAATAAAGATGTATCCATTAGCAGCAAGATTAAACTGTAGCAAAGTCACAATTGGTGCCTGTCAAGTACATCAACTGGGTAAATATCGGGAGACTAACTAAAGCTCACCACAACAGGCTAAATTTGATCTATTTTTGTCTAAATAAACGTCGAATAAACCATCGAGAACGAGTGAAGGGAGTGTAGAAATGTATTGTGACATTTTATAAGTATCTTCTATGCAATGGCCCCTCAAGAACGTTGCAGTTTATCTGTTCCCCAATAGCTGGCAGATTCATAGCATACCTCGGTTAAATATGGTTAAACATCACAGTTCTAGAGTTCTTTCAACCATTCTTAGGAGCTGCTGAATTACTGGCTGGGACCCAAAATAGCCCGCAGTCCCCTATGACGATCACTTCGTGATAAACAGAGCAAACTTCAAACTCACTGTTGCCTATTGTGAAGGAATTCCGCTGCCTTGAATTAAACGCTCGGAAGGCGCATCTGATGGGCAGAACGAAGACACCAAACAGCACTTAAAGGCCAGATAGAGAAGCTAAATGTTAAAGAAGCGAAGAGTCGACTAGCGACACGTTTCATTCATTCTGTGGTTAGGGCACGCGTAATGGTCCCCTCGCATACGACCATTCAAGTATCAAGTCGTTAATTGAAACAAGATCAAATGTTGATAGGCCGTAAAGTGCACTGTGACTTAAAATAGCAACGAGTAATTGCTAACTTATGTTCTGACGCGAAGAAAAGATAATGGACTAATAATAGGAAACTCGTGATGACTAACTGTAGTAGTTCCACGGTCGGAAAGCTGAAGCTCTGTTCAGCCGGAAGTAAAAAAAAAAAGCTGGGCAAGTGTTTTGAAAACACAATGATTAGAGAATTGTTTGCCCTGTATACTGTTAATTGTGCTCATCTAGCTTGGCTGAAGCCTTGTAACTTGGTAACGGACCTAAACGCTTCAGCGAGCAAATTTTGACGGGTTCTCAAAACAGCCACTTGCAACAAACAAAGTGATCCATTCCGAATCGCTTTTGCTTCTGTGCGTAGGAGCGAGTGTTTCCTCAGCATTGTCGAATCTAGGTCTTGCACAATTCTTTTTATTTCTACAACAGTATGACAGTCAGCCAATCAGATAATAGCTGACAGAGGATTAACAAGTCCTGTGATGCATTTTGTGTATCTTCAGCTTGCTTGTGTTATGCGAGAGGGGTACAGGTTCTTTCACAATTTGACGACCTTATTGACGGTAATTGTTAACGTCTGCAAGTCCATAAGGAAAAGCACTCTGCCCATCGTAATGACAATAAATAGTGCTAAGGAAACTTTCTATTCGCGTTTTTTTATGTTTTACACCGAACAAAGTCATTTTGTCTATTCACATTTGGTAAAAAAATAAAATCGGGTTAAGAGGGCACTGCATGCCATCATCTATTTATAGCATGGCCACCTTTAAAAAGCATGTAAGAAAACTCAGATCATAGGGAAACCTTAAATAACTGCTTTGTGCACTGTAACAGCATTGGGCCAATGACAGGAATTCACTGGCATGTGACGAACGCTAACGATATACAGCAAAGATAGCAATGGATACCATATGGAAATACCTGAAATTTGGGCCTCGCGATTTTCAGTTTGGCTTGAATTTTGTTTTTGTTTTGTTTTTCAAACTCTAAACCTGCAGAAAACTTTAAATCCCTGTTTTTTTTTTCTTTCTTTCTTTTCATGAAATTTAAATTGTATGTTATTAAAAATTTGTCTTTTTAATTAAGGAAAAGGAAAACTGTCACCATAGAATGGCTGTAAAAGGTTTTTTCACCATACAGAGTTCATTTTGACTGTTGTTGTTTTTGTTAACTCCATGAATTGTGGAACGAATTTCCTGAATGCCCACGCAGGTCACTGCCTAAGCCACTGAGCTGTCTGTCACTCTGAGGTCCCCCCGAAACTGAGTTCTAGCCAAGAATGTTACGCCTAGGGTTGATTAAAAAAATGTAGACCAACACAGATGCTCTGAAAATAGGCATGCCAGACGAAGAAATCTATGGAAGGATGGTCGCCCCAAAATCTGCATTCTACAGCCCTTTCTTCTATCTCAGAGTCTTCACAATTTATGTTGAAAATCGTTGTATAATAAGACGCCTTTTTGCAACATTGACGAAAGTTCATTGAGGGTCCATCTTAGATACGGCCAAAGAAGAAATTCTTCGCGTGTCCCGACAATCATTGTCTGAAATTAAGGTCTGGTTAGCAAGACATCTTTGTTTTGCTAAACTATCGAGGTTGGCGACTCATCTTCATCTAAACAACTTTAGCTTATTGACAATCCTTTTTTTTAATAACCTCAGTGTCAGCTGAGATAATTTTCCTGTACATAAATAGTCTAGAAAATTGGGGTGATCTAACATCAACATAAAAAAAAACTCGGATTGTTTCACAAAGTTTGTTTTAGCTGCGAGCCTCTGGTATCAAGCACGCGTGCAAAATGTATCAACGTTCATGTAATACTACATACATTACAGCTGCAATTTACAAAGCAATCTATCTAGCCTAATCTATCTTGAGAATTCCATGTATACGTAATCTAACATTAACACAAAAAAAAGCTCAGATTGTTTCACATTGTTTTAGATGCGATTCTCTGCTAACAAGCACGCGTGTAAAATATATCCTTAACGTTCTTGTACTGAGTTAGTTCTACATCTATTATAGCTTGCAGTTTACAAAGCAATCTATCTGGACTAATCTATCTTACGACACAAGGTACAAGGTATAAAGAAGAAACAATAAAAGATCTATGACCCAGTAATATATCTCCTTAGAAAAGTTCAAGATTCTATTCTTAACGTTTTTGGCGCATTTACAGCCCTGTTCTGCGCCAAGAAAGAAATTAAGGTATTAGGGTTAGCGAGACTTTCTTCTATTAATTGAGCACGTAGGAGGAATTTCGTTTCCAACGAGTTTTACATGATGTTTTTCTATTCCAAGGGAATCACCATATTTGCAGACAACGTAATCAAAGGGGATAAAAATTCTTTTGTGTCATTCCTTGACTTATCAGACTTTCTGCATTCCATAATGATCAAATCAATAGTGTTCAATTTCATTTGCGTCGCAAAAAAGTCGAGACTATTTTATGGGCAAATATTCTGTAACTCTGAGGGATCTTGACGTTTCGTCCTGTCTCGAACGGAATTCTATTCACGCCTGGAGATGCTTATCTTTCTTACAGCTTGACGAAATTTTAAACTAAATTAGCTGAGACTCTAAGTGAATACTCCCCTAATGACAAGAGTTGACTCAAGTTTAATGAACCTTATCGTATATAATTTACCAACTACTTTAAAGTAATCATACAACTAAAATTGATTTGCCATCCTGTATCCCGGAGTCCCCCAGTAAAATTTTGTCAACTGAAAGTCTTTGACAAGATTAGCACTGAAATCGTTTGAAACTATAAATTTGAAAGATTCTCGTATTTTGTCAAAAGCTTACGAGGTTTGTGTCATACGTAATTTAGCTACTTTGCCTTGACAACTAGGACATCTAGCCATAGGATTCCAACATTAGAGCATGGAACGGATCATACCCAATAACTCCCACTTTTTGCAAAATCTGGTTTATCGGATTCAGAGATTTGATTCTCTTGCTATATTCTGGTTAATCATGAGCTGTGCAAATTCATTTACAGTTCACCGGACTTCAGTGTCTCTTGGTTGCACCCAGCATGACCTTGAAATAAATGTTTACTGAAATGAAACAATTTAGTATGGGACTTTTATAGTGTTCCCTTTTGGAATATTTGCCTCCCGTATCTGAACCCGTACAAGAATATGTTAACAAATTACATACCTGTAAACTTGAAACTTGCCTTTGAACAGCACAGTTAGATTTGCTTTAAGTAAATGTAAACCCTTTTTTAAGAAAAAAAAAAACCTCTGAGAGCAAGTTTAATTAAAAAAGATTACAGCTGGTATTTTTCCGGGTCTTGACTAATCCAGATTGGGTTATAGGTTTTTCCATAAAGGAATGCAAATCATAAATCATCGAGAACAGGATTTAATTTCCTGCCTGTCGAATTCAAAACCAGTAAAGCAATATTTGACGGAATGCAAGTAAATATATGAAAGATCATATATTTGAACTGCGGAGAAAGATATGAAGACATGATGTCTTACGAACTTACAACGTGACCAGCTCCCAAGGTTGGTTTGATAGCGCAGTTGGTAGTGATTGCACCGGTATCGCAGAGCTCGTGATTTCGTATCCCGTTCAAGCCTAATCTTTTTTTCAGGCTTTAATTTCACGACTGCTTTATAAGTTGAATGCCCTCTATCAGGGGCAATATTACTGCATTCACTGTCACTGAAAAGTGAGTCTTTACTTGATTTCCGCACGAATGGCTTTGATTTGAGGCTAAACGGGTTCTTGGACAGTGATGGAGATTCTGAACCTTGCCTTGTCAAAGGGGGTCTGTCCCTGGACAGTTCTCTGGAAGATGATTCAGTCTGAGGTCTCCCCCTGATTTTAAACGATTCCCTCTCCTCGGTAGATCTCCTCCTTTGAGGCAGGTTTTCTTTGTCGTTCAACCGACTATCGGCAAACGAAGTAAACGAGCAAATTTGGATTTTTCTGACTTTAGCTATGCTAGTCCCTTTTGGAGATAACAACGGTGACTGGATTCTAGAAGGGTCGCTAGGAAGTCCCGCTCCCTCCAGTGAGCTCACAGAAGTCATACTACTTGACCTGATTTTGTTAGCAGCATTTCGGAGCTCCTTGTAGCTCACAAGAGGCGCTACGTTGGAAGGCTCATCCGATGGAAACTGCGTCCTTCTTTTCCTCTGCGAGTAAGCCGCGCTGCTCGTGTCGGACGGTTCACTGACGCTCTGGTTTTCGGACTCGCTGGTGTTGTCGTCGCCGTATACACTTGAGCCAATCGACTTATTGGACGGCTTTCGCCTAATGCGCCGTCTGCGCTTAAGCGGTGTGTCAAGGGATGAGCTGATATCGCTTTCCGATTCTGTCGATGAACCCTGGGTGTCTGTCGGTGACTCCGAATACGAGGTAGAAGTCGAACGTCTCGTAACATTTTGTCGGCTCGATCCCGAAAACTTTACATCGTTGTAAACAATGCTGCCGCCATCTTTATTCCGCCTTCCTCGCGTTCTTGTCGAGTAATGGAATTCGTTCGTCGCAGGCCTGTTTCTCTGATCGTCTCGGGGACGATAGCTATTTTCCTGAGTCGCATTCCATTGCATTTCTGTTTCTGCTTGGCCCTTAACACGCACCGATTTCGAGTGTCTGTTCGTTGGAGCTTTGCAGAAAACCAAGTCACTGTTGTTAATCGTGTCTCTAGGCAAACCTTTCACGTCAGATGAAAGGCCAGTGGGATAAGTAGCATTTTGTCCATAGTTGGAAACTGAAGGGGGCGGAAATAGCGTGCGGCCGGCCCGGTCGCCTCGCTGAGTTAACTGTTCACTTGCTGGTATCCCTGGAATGTTGTCCATGAACTTCGTTCTTTCCGAATCGGCTGTCGTGCCAGCATAGAGACTCGAGCTCGATTTAGGAGAATAATCCTGTGTGTTTCTCCCAGATAAGTGCGGTGTAACATAGTCCAGCGATGGCTGCGGGCCCTCACTTACCGCAGAACTAGAAACATGACTACCATGAGTGCGCGCTTTAGAGATTTTTAATTGAGCCTTTTCACTCGTCTTCCCGTACGCTTTTTTGTGCGAAATGCTCACTTCCGTTGGTTCCACTTCACTAGCTCCCATCCGAGCTCTATGGGCTCCTCGCCCTTCTCTGCTCCCTTCGTGCCGTCTTTCACTTCTCGAGCGCGCCTGTGTCGCGCTCGGTGGAACTGATCTGCCAGTTTCGGCGTCAAATTGTGCTGGGCGAGTGGACATCCTCGTTTACAGTTTGTAGGAATTCAATTGCGCCGTCAGATGTCCGTGGTCGTTCGTCGAATTCACTGCGCACAGATGTATAACACTAAAATATTTACCACTAACAGATCTTCGATTCCACACGCCAAGATTCAACGAACAATGCTCAAGATTCCTAGACATTACACTGCCTTCATTCGCATATTTAACTCCAACAGGTTAGGATCGCTTTGATGAGTAAGACCAACACAGTGTCTTTCCAGCTCGCACACACACACACTTGTGTCATGTAAATCGCGCCCACGACGTCAAAAAACCTTCGAGGGAAACAAAAAAATTTGTGTCACAATGTTTTATAGGTTAGACGCACTCACGCGTACATAAATTTACCCTTCATAGTGAAGTTATCTGTTACGCTAAATTTAGCGCACGGGGTAGTAACTCAACACCGGTGCGCGCATTTGATTGACAACCGTGGGCGCATAGACTGCGGTGTATCCGATCACAGAGGTCTGCTGAAGCTAAAAGACTTTACAACTCAACAGATTTAACGGGTTAATTCTGCAAGTTTAATCATTGAATGCAGGCAAATTGTGGGCGAAAAAAGGCACCGGAAATACACACGTAAAAGGCTTCTGAAAGATTCAGCCAACTAAGCTGTCCCAAAGGCGCCCATCGGCAAACAAGTGGAAAAAGTACTTCATCCGACCAAACAATGTTTTGACGCAGTATTTTAGCAGTACACTACCTGCAAAGAAAGGTGTCAAAGCTATTCTTCTCGCGAGACAAAGGCATTCTGTTTTTGTTGGATCTCATTTTAAGCGCAAAGCATTGTTTCA